TGAGGCACTGAAAATCAAAGCTTATTTTCTCTAGGAGCAGAGAAGTAGCAGCCTGCCAGCCTTCTAAACAAAGACCACATGCTTTAAGTTGTTAGAAACTGGCTAAAATCAGATCTCAGAGTCTCTGGTGTGGCATTTGAGGATGAAACACTTCAGAGCAGCAGTTGCCAACTGGGGGTCCGTGGGCCACTGGTGGTCCGTGAGAAAATTTTGGTCGTCCCCGGACCCCTCTGATGCCATGCAGGCTGGGCCGTCATTGAAGCCGCACGGAGGCTCCGGGGCTGACTCAAGCAGCGGCTGTCACAAGGAATGCGCGGCTCTCAGTACTGTGCGGGCTCTGCAGGAGGCGGGGCATCTCATCAGTACCCGGACTGAGCAGGCTGTGGGACATAGAAAAAGTGGGGAGAAGCCAGGTAATAGTGGCTCAGTGTGGGGGAAGAGGAGGCACGGGGGTGGTTGGGGGCAGTGCTGAAGCTAGGGGGGCATGTGCCGTTCGATAGGGGGGGAAACAATTAATATTATTGCTGGGCCGGGGCGGGCAGCACCGCTCTTTCCCTCCACCAGCACTGACACTCGTGCAGGCACACCTGCACCTATGTATGTATGTGTATATACTGTATACTGTATGTATATATATTCTCATATTTTTTTGTTTCCTCATATATAAATATATTTTCATATGTGTGTGTGTGTATATATAGTGGGTTTAGCCCTGTTTATGTGTGTTTATGCCTTTAGAGTTTCTAATCAGACCCTGGGCACACTGAATTCTATATTCTCTAGGCACAGATAAACTGACTGCACCTAAACACAGGTAAACGGTCAGTTTAATTTTTTTTCTACATTTGGCCCTGCTTTGGGCAAGCAGAGCTAAATGTACAGCGGGGAAGCAGCTGCTCGTTTTGAACACGTGATCTCGGCGTTGTCGCCAAGATCACTTGTATGCAGCCTGCAGGTCTGTCGCCCCCTCCCGTTGGCTACCTCTCTCCCCACCGGCCGCCTCTCTCTGGAGATTGCATCCTCTCTTCAGGATGGAGACCGGGGAGCAGAGCAGAGAACGTCCGTTCTCCGCTCTGCTCCGTGTAAACACTGAGACAGGAATGCTGTGCTCAAACTCCTGTATTGGAGGGGACAGTTTCAATAAGAGAACCTCCAAAGTCACCTCCAAATGCTATCACACATGGGATTTTTAGTTCCTGTGTTATAGCAATAAAATTGAGTGAAAATAAATAAATAATAATAAACAAATACAGTTATAAAAAATAATAAAATAAATACAAATAAAAATCATAAGAAATAATAATTAAAATAGAAAAATTAAAAAGTGATAAAATGTAAGAAATAATCTTTTATTGTTATTTTAATGACATGGTTTCTTTTAACCATCCCCTATGCTATCCAAAACTACAAAAAACAGGTTTTGGTTATAAATACATATGGTAGTTTAAGCTGAGCAGAAAAGGAGGAAATCAAGGTGGGGATAAAGTATTGAGTTATGAGGAATCAATGCTTCCAATAGTTAAAAATGTATGTCATGTAAAAAAAATTGTTAAAGCACACTTTACATCTATGTCTTTGTAAGAAAAGCAGCATAGAGGCTGCATAATAGTGGATTACCTCATTATGATATTGCTTCATAAGCTAAAAATGCAAAATATAAGAGAATAAAATTGCCATATTTGTTCAACATTAAGAGGTCTGATTTTGCGCAGATTTAGGTACTAGAAAAAGGATTTGGAATTACTTAACACTTTAATTTGTGCAGACACTATTCCATAATATTAGTAAAAAGCTTGTTTTAGCTATCTTCACTACAGGATCGATTTGTCTTCTGTGCGTGTAACATCCCTGAATTGCTGATAAGGAACTTGCAGACAGGCCTGGAGGGAATACATACTCAGAGTGATCTACCACACTGTTCAGTAAAATGCATGGGAAAGTCCAAAGCAAAAAAACTCTGATGTAGCTATTTGTTTTTCTTTGTGATTTGTTGAGGTTTGTAAAAGGTTTTCAATGTGTTTCTAATACCTACTATAATAATTATGATAATGATTATTATAAATATTTGTTACTCACAGTCCAACCTGTATACAGTATAGTCAAGTAAAATTCACATAAGTCTAGCCAATTCATATTTTCCGGTGTCCTCAAAAAGAAACTACAGCGTATATTCAGGAAGCATATGTTTTCTGCTATTATTGAAGTGTTTAGCCAAAGGTAACTTTTGTTATGACTTTCACATTCTTACATGATGCTATTCCGTATTTTTGTTATTGTATTATATATAGAGGTTTGTAGCTCTACCACTAGAGGGACCAAACAGTTTGCAACTACCACTGACTCATAGGGGTTGATTTACTAAAGGCAAATAGACTGTACAAGGGAATTTGCACTTTGCAAAGGAATTTCCCCTTAGTTTAGTGAATGAGGTGAAGCTCTGCTGACCTCCATCATCTAATCATGTGCAAGCAAAAATACTGTTTTTTCTTTTCCTTGCTTGTGTAGCGTCCCCCTTACTCAGTCAGCGATATCCCAGTGCAGGATATCACTACCGGTGGCTCTGAAGGGGTGATCTACAGTAAAAGAAGTAAGGGGTCTCCTGTATTTCCTCTGTAAGAAAACCTCTATAATGGATCACAGCACACCTTGACTCTAGGGTCGGTTGCTATGGGTACCACAACTCTGAAATATTCATGTCTAGGGGTAATTTCACTTGCTTTTGCCAATCAGAACTTACAGCCCTCTATGGTGGTCGATTGAAGTGATGTCCAGACTGTAGATATGATGCTGAACACTTTATGCAGAACTTCAGGGAGAGAGGCAGAGGGTTAGGATCATCCAGGCAGACGTAGACTCTATCACATTGCAGATTGCGGTTACTGTCTCCATGCACAGCACCCTTGTAATCAGTAATAACCGCTGGACCTGCTGCTATGAGGCTCCAGAGTCAACACACAGCTGGTCCCTAGGCTTCAGGCCTAGCCATCTCAGAGAGTCCACAGCAGCCTCCTCAAAGGCTGGGCCCCGGGCAGGAAGAGAGGTCTCACATGGTCCACCTAAAGTATTTATCTCCTCCCCTAGTATGCACCACTGGCCATTGTCTAACAGTGATTGGCTGGAGAGGGATATCCACTCATAACAATCCCTCATTGGTTGTTCTGTTCTGTAACCAGGGTACACCCAGCAGCAGACAGATGCAAATTATGACAGATTGTTTAGGGGAAACCAAATGAACCCAGATTACAAATCAGCATCAGGCTGTATACAATCCGATATTACTAAATTTATATCACTCTTTCTAGCAGGGTGCTACACTTGTGATTAAGTATTTTCACCACAGTGAATTTTTACCACATTCACTAAGCTAAGGGAAAATTCCTTTGTAAAGTGCTATTCCCTTCCAAAGTGAACAGTCTATTTGTCTTTAGTATATAAATCCCATAGTCCTGTATTGTTGGAAAGGGCAGTGAAACCGAATGATTCTGTAGCACTAATAAACCTTAAGTAAAATCTGTGTAATGGCAAATGTGGCTGCCCCCAGGAGTGCCCCTAGCCTTTTCCCCACCTGAGGCCAGCGGGGTGGAGGCCGACTTGGCAACAGTGCACATTGACGGGAGAGGAGGATGGAGGTGATGATGGTGCATGCTAATCGCAGGGGGGTTTGGAGGTTAGGCTATGCTTTTGCCTCATTTCCCTGCCCAGCTCTGGCTTCAGCCCTGGTCGGCGTCCTGCTGGGCAGTGACGTCACTGGTTGCTAGGAACAGAGACAGGGACGCCTGTCCTGGGTGTCCCAGGTTGGTAAGAGGTGGGCGGGGAAATGTGTATGGCCCTTACACATCTCCCTGCCCAGCTCTTAGCAACCTGGGATGCTCTGGCTGGAAAGAGCTTGTATATTAACAACTTTGTTGTAGATCCTTAACCCCTTCGTGACAGGAGACGTACCCCTGTAAAAATTATTTAATTACATTATCAAGCAGTAATCGTGAGATTCATTCACAATGACTGCTTAATATAATTCATTAAATAAATAAAATAAAAATTTAAAACATTTTTTTTTTAAATAGTGAAAAGTGTAAACAAAATAAAAAATAAAGTGTAAAAAAATAAAAATAAATGTAACAAATAAAAATGATATATTTAAATATATTTTTATACTATCATTCATATAAAAATTAACCCATTACAACGAAAATGTGCAGCTGAGCTGCAGATTTGTTTCACCCTAAGGCAGGGGTGTCAAACGCAATTTAATCAAGGGCCGCATCAACATTATGGTTGCCCTCAAAGGGCCTGTAAAACGATATAAATGTATCTAATCTTTATCATAATTGCCTCTGCATTCGATTATCACTGCTTTTAGTAATAACTTAATACCTAGTCTAGATCTGAAAGCAGAAGTCTAGGAAATGGCCTGGTGGGCCGGATTCGGCCCCTGGGCCTTGAGTTTGACACGTGCCCTAAGGGGTTAAGTTTTTTTATTTAACCCCATCATGACAGTGATGTACACAGTAAGTCCCTGTCACTAAGTGTGACACTTAGTGACAGTGACATTGTATGCCAGGTGACCCCTTTTAGCTTTAGCTTTTAGAGAAAAAAGATTAAAATGTTAGATTTTATGTATTTTTTAGTACCAACTCAGAAAGAAAATATTTTTTTCAGTTGATTTCTTTCACATGCATATCTATATAGGCACTGAAAAGATTATGCATTCCCTTTAAATCTAAATTCATGATGAAGCAAAAATTCTTTGAATTAATTATTAAGGTTCTACATCAAAGTTGTTAATATACAAGCACAGAGTATTTACAGTTGAAGGGAGTTTAACACAAACACAGGCTTCTCCAGGAATCCACACAGAATGTCCTGTAAATGTGTAACAGCTTAGAAAGTGTTGACAGAATGCTATTCACTGTAATCAGGATATATGCAGGAAGCAGGTACAGGATTTGTGGTACCATACTGTATCCAGATAAAGCCCAGACAGTGCTCCCCGGGCTTACCATCCATATCCAGTCTCTGTATAATGACCTCCAGTTCCACTTCATTGGGCATGTACCCCAAGGACCTCATTGCGGTGCCCAGCTCCTGCTTGGAGATGAATCCATTCCCGTCCCGATCAAACACCTTGAAGGCTTCTCGAATCTCTGTGTAGACAGAAAAAAAGAAGATGAACCATTCCCAAGCCATTATATGTGTGTTCATGTCGAACCTTATGCTAAAAAGATTTGTCTACTTCTTTCATCACTACATGCATAAAGGTCAAGTACTTCCTATGAAAAATTATATTTTTGTTGCTTCTCTGACTAATGCCCTTGTTACCTCATTACTTAATGGTCTTCATTATAGTCCTGGTAGTGCCATATTATTTCCCATTTTCCTTAATGGATTTAACAGTACTCTGAATTATGTTCAAAGTTTGGAATTTTGTGATAATGCAATCCTGATCCGTGCTTTTCTATACCTTTATCCAGGGCTTTTTTATATATAGGACTTTGGTCTTCATGTATATGTTAATGGGTATGCTTTCAAACAAATTCTGTGACCTTTAATATATTTATTATTAGAGATGCACCGAAATTAAAATGTCAAAACCGAAACAAAACCTAAATAGAAAAAATTTCAAAATGAAACCGAAAATGTTTTTTATTTTAACTTTTTCAAATTTTTTATTTTTATATATTTTTTATAAACTTTTTTATTTATGTTTGTAGCGCTCACACGTACCGACACGCTGTCACAGGAAGCTGAGAGAGCGGAGCTCAGCCTCCTGTGACAGCAGCGCTGGCTGTCTCCGCCCACACTGCTCTCCTCTGATCTGTGACAAGAGGTTGAGCAGTGCGGGGAGGAGAGACGCCGTTCGCTCACAGCGCTCTGCTCCCACAGCGCTCGGCCGCCTGTGACAGTTTCTCTCCTCCCTGCTGGGACACAGAGCACTGCCCAGCGGGGATGAGAGAAAGAATGGATGCACCACTGTATTGGCCAGAAAATGGCACTTTAGGCATTATGCCAAAAGTGCCATTTTCGGCCGATATGTTTCGGCAGCCGATATATCGGTGCATCCCTATTTATTATAATATTCTATTCTATTATATTCTGAGATTTCCCACACTTCAACTGAATACAGTGGGATGGCTTTCAACTAATATTGGAACTTCTGAAGTAATCTGGCAGCAGTAGAGCTTATTTAAAGGGTTTCGCAGAAAAGGTGGGTGAATACTTCTACAATAATGTGAATTCAATAAAGACTTTTCAGGTTATTTAGATGTAAATAATTTTGAAAACTGTGTCGTTTCTATTTAACGTTATTATGGACTCAGTTGTTAGATAAATAAAATAAAATCCTAGTTAAATCTATTAAAGGTATGAAGAGGCCAAAGAGGGTTAATGAGGACCTTTACCCAGATCTTTAAAATAACAACAAACACACCTTTAGAAATGTTTAGTAATGACAATCTACACACACATACTTCTAGATAATCTCCGGCTTTGTATTCTTTGCATACATTATGTCTCTTTTCTTTCCCAGTCTTGTGAAAGTGGCCATGTTAACTAAGGGCAGATTACTAGCTCTCCTTTTACTTCCTGAAAATCTGGCACATGTGACTAAACATGTGACTAGGACATGTGACCATGCTCATCATCTCAGGGGAGGAGAATGCCTTTCCCTGATTTCTCCTGAGATTACAGATTCGATTTCCCAGGAATGTTTTGCTGATGTAGCCTTCCCAGGATGCAATGTTTTTGGCCCTTACATCATCATCATTTCAATGACAAGGCAATCCCAGTGTGCATTGCTTTGGCACACTGAAGTCATTTTGCCCTTTCAAAGCAGGAAGTGAATGCTCTGCAAGTGTAAGTATTTCATAATCACAGCATTTTACACCTGACATGTCTATGTTATTATTATTCATCATACATAGAGGGATGCATTGGTAGAATATGACTTTTGAGTGTAAAGGTCCGCTTTAATAGTTGCGAAGCACCGTATACTGCATTATCTTCAAATAATACAGAACAATGTACTGACCACAGTGCCACCTGACCCCCTAACCCGGAAGCCAAAACACTATTCAAAGAGGTGGCAAAAATCCAAATCTAATCCAAAAATCCAAAAAGTTAATGCCCTCTCCTCCAAATGCTGAAGTATAGAGGTGCATTTCTTTCTTATTTCAGTAGAAATCAAGTTTCTACATTTACCACACTTGTATGTCGCTGTGCTACAGTCTTCTGCACCCCCTGCAATATACTATTAAAAGGATATCATTTTTGCAAACAGGGTAATGGCTACCAGAAAACATTAATACTGTAATATGTTGCCTGAGACTATAAATATTATCAGCTTTGGAGTTTCATTGTGTTAGCCTTACCTGCTTTACTGAGTTGGTGCAGATATACTAACATGAATATAGTGTTGTGCACTCTATGCAGGCCTATGTATACATCAGGCCTATGTATACACAGTTGAACTGTGTAGGTTTAGTACTTTTTAAACACTAGTAGGATCAAAGTAGGATAAATGAGACATAAAAGAGTTAAGGAGCTTGCACAGTCCTCTATTATTTAATGCAATCTGGAAAGAGAAATGGGTTAGAAGATAATGTAGTGGTGGAGTTATATGCTTGGAGATCATTACAAACCTCTGCCAGAACCCTTACCTTCTGGCAAAATCATTTGATAGATTTACTGTGTATGGCCATCCGTAGAACTGGAGCTATCCTAGTCACATATAACTGATGATATTCCATATGAAATCTGCTCCCCCGGGGTCCAGTATTTTTGGCAATCTGTGTCTATTCAGCTATTGTGAAAATAAACGTCCATATCACGTGTCAAACTCAAGGCCCAGGGGCCGAATCCGGCCCACCAGGCCATTTCCTAGACTTCTTCTTTTAGATCTAGGTATTAAGTTATTACTAAAACCAATGATAATCGAATGCAGAGGCAATTATGATAAAGATTAGACGCATTTATATAGTCTTACAGATACAACCGGCCCTTTGAGGGCAACCATAATGTTGATGCGGCCCACGATTAAATTGAGTGTGACACCCCTGGTCCATACAGACCATATCAGGACTTCACTATTGTGACATACTGGCATATCTGCTCTTGTTCTATGGAAGTCTGACAGTCAAATGTTAACTACCTTAGAGTGTAACAGTGTATGGTATATCACCCTTTATGATACTAAATGTTTTAAAAAATCATTTCCTCAGTGGACTTTACGGTACACTGTTCATGGACCTACATAAAGAGAGGTAACTGCAGCATGTTATTGAGCTTATAGAACAAGGGTGCCCACAATTTTTTGTGTTGAGATCTACTTTTCAAATGATGAGCTACATGAGATCTACCAACGAACAAAAAACCTCCCTCGCTCTCTCTCTCCTGGCTGTCTCTCTACGCTCTCCTGGTTGTCTGTCCTTGCTCTCTCTCCTGGCTGTCTCTCCTTGCTCATCCTCCTGGCTGTCTCTCCTCTCTCTCCTGGCTGTCATTCCTCATTCGCTCTCTTGGCTGTCTCTCCTTGCGCTCTCTCCCCGGCTGTCTCTCCTCTCTCTCTTTCCTGGCTGTCTCTCCTTGCTCTCTCTCCTGTCTGTCTCTCCCCGCTCTCTCCTGGCTCACCTTGCTGTATTTTGCAAACAGTGTAGTGCAACAGGCTGTGTAAACAAATATTCTTTGATATAATACATAGCACTTCAACCACCAGTATCCACCAGAAAGGTGTCAGGGAGCTTGGATCACCAGACTCAGGACACTAGGTAATCATGTGTGCACAGCTAAATAAATATACCAAAATGGAATAAAGGGGCCGCCATTCACAGCCTTTGTGATCCACCAGCATCAGCTTTGAGAGCTACTGGTAGATCACGATCTACCTAATGGTTACCCCTGTTATAGAATAACTGTGGGCATGTACAAAATTAACCCTTGCAGTAGGGCTACCTCCCCACTGCAAGGGTTAGGTGCTATTCTTGGTCTAGGGTCTAAAATAAAAAATATTTTTTTTTCACCCGATCCTTGGTCCCACGGCAGTGACCGCTCACCTCTCTCCCCCTCCAATTTGGTTGTGAAATGTCCCTCAGCATCCTGATGTTTTAATACGTTATTTAAGGCACCCTGAAGTAAGCTCTGATGCAATTTTTCACATTTTTGCAAGCATCCATTTATTTATTTTTTATTTTATTAAATGTAGGGATCTGTAGAATAGTCACTGGATGCAGGGTAGATTAGCTACTACGACTAGACATGCATACAGCATAAACATTTGTTTTGGACTAATGAAATGGGAAAAACCTTTTCATTCTTTCTGTTTGATGAAACAAATAATCATGCTGTTTCAGATTCGGAGGCAACAAGCCTTGGAATCCGAAAGCGCACAATTTGGAGGCGGGGCGCATGACGCATGTATAGATGCAGCAAGATACAAAACAAATTAATATATGCCCGAATATATTTTTCGCATTTTTGGGCATATAATAATTTATAACGGAATTTAGTGAATCGGCAAGTTCGTCCAAATGCACATGTCTAACTACAACTACGCTGACTACTCTTTCACACGTAATAAGAAAGTAGGGATGCACAGATACTTTTCGAGTACCAGTGCAGATACTTGGCATTTTCACAAGAACTACCAGGGTTGCAGAAGTTGCAGCTGGGACCGGGCTCTGGCACTCCACCACTGTCCTAAAAACATTAGTCTGTATTGTTTTAGAAAAACTGTCACATGACAATAAACAAAAATGTATCAGTACTCATACTTGTAAGTACTCGGCAAGTACCAGTACTTGTACTCGCAAAACTGGTATCTGTGCATCCCTTTATTCATCCCTTTATTTATACTTATAAAAACAAAATCGTACATTAAACCAGAGATGTACAAATCCCAGGAGCTCTGTGTGCTCCTTACAGCGGCCTCCTAATTTTTGAATTTTTCTCTAGTGTAGTCTTGGAGCTCAAAAGTATCGGTACATGTACTCGTACTTGTACCGAGTACTGTACTTGGTATCTGTGCAACCCTATAAGAAAGATATATCAGTCATTTAGGTAGTGTGCTGTTTCTAATGAGTCTGCTGTCCATGTTAAAGTGGAAGTTAAGTCTTAAAAAAATAATTACCAGTAATTAAAAATTAAATGCCGACAG